CAGTCCTGTGATCTATTGATGGGCCCTTGGGTTGTTTTCACTCTTTGGCTATGGTAAATAATGCTGCAGTGCATACTGTTGAACAGTGTCTATTTGAATCCCTGCTTTAAATTATTTGGGGTACATACTAGGCAGTGGGATTGCTGGTTCACATGGTAATTTCCAGCAATTCCACTGGCATGTATGCACCCCGAAAAATTTAAATTTCAGAGTCCTGGTGTGACACTGTGTGTTAATGCAGTGGACTGCAAAGTTGGTTAGAAACCCAGGGTTGGCGGTTCTAGCTCACCATTCTCTCCTCAGAAACCCTATATAGGGTTGGTACAGATTGGAACCAACTCTATGACACTGAACAACAACATGGTAATTTCATGTTTAATTTTTTGAGGAACCACCAAACTATTTCCACAGCAGCTGCACCATTTTGCATTCTTTAAAAAAAACAAAACAGGTTTTCATTGTGCCTTTATTCACCTGGGTGTGTTAAAAATGTTCCAAAGATCCTAGAAACAAAATGACCACCCAAATATGTGAGTGAAAGCACTCTTCTCCACAGGGTAGTACAACCCCCTCCCACCAAAAAAACTCATTTCTTAGTTATCTTTATCAATCACATAGTAGTTAACAAGAATGTCAGCTATAATAATATATACAATCTAAACAAGACAGGCTGGTTATGAATTTACATAATGTGGCAAAAATGATACATGTTAGAAGTGGGCCCAGTGGACAGGTGCATGCAGGGGAAGCCATCACAGGAAGGGGAATCTACTCACAGCAGGGAGAGTGCCCAGAGCAGAAATGGCATTTCTCCCTCTAGGAGAGGGACCATGACTAACAGAGACAGAGATTTCACACACAGCTAACTACAAGGATGAACTGTCTGCCACACAGTCTAAAGAGGACTGACCTTCCATGGATGTTCCCACAAGGAGAATACATCCCCAAAAGCACAGGAAGCATTAAGTCATTTACTCAAGGCTGAAACTCAGAGACACTTGTCTCTTGATGTAAGCATCTGTAAAATGCTTGTGTCTCCTTTTGCTGTTTTCCTCAGGACAGACATGCACTTAGTGAGTGGTGTTGGACACTTTCACCTTACAGTGATCACGGAGGAACTCTTCAAGACAAGAGCAGTTTTAGTGACATGCTTTAGTCACACTTAAGATAACATGGAGCTAGCTTGGGGTCACGTGTAAATTTCATGCTTTCACGTTTTAGTTTTCTGTTGTTTCTACCTGTCCTAGAAATGTGGCATCAGGATTGGAGAAGACTCATTAACAACCTGCGATATGCAGAAGATACAACTTTGCTGCTGAAAGGGAAGAAGATTTAAAATATTTACTATGATGCTCAAAGAGCACAGCCTTCAGTATGGATTGCATCACAATGTAAAGAAAACAAAAATCCTCACCACTGGACCAATAAACAAGATTCTTACCAAAGGAGAAAAGATTGAAGTGGTCAAGGACTTCATTCTTCTTGGATCAACTATCAATACTCATGGAAGTAGCAGTCAAGAAATCAAACAACGTATTATTAGGCAAATCTGCTGTACAAGACCTTTTTAAAGTGTTGAAGGGCAAAGATATCAGCTTGAGGACTAAGATGCACCTGACCCAAGCCATGGTATTTTCAATAATCTCATATGCATGCAAAAGCTGGACAGTAAATAAGGAAGACTGTAGAAGAATTGATGCTTTTGAGTTATGGTGTTGGAGGAGAATATTGAAAGTGCCATGGGCTGCCAAAAGAACCAACAGATCCATTTTTGAAGAAGTGCAGCCAGAGTGCTCCTTGGAGGCCAAGATGGCCAAACATCATCTCTCCAGTCACTGGAGAAGGATATCATGTTTGGTAAGGTGGAGGGTCAGAGAAAAAGACGAAGACCCCCAGCGAGATGGATTGGCCAAGTGGCAGCATTAATGGACTCAAGCGTGACAACAATAGTGAAGTTGGCCAGGGATTAGACAGTGTTTCATTCTGCTGTGCATAAGGTTACTATAAGTTGGTACCAACTCGATGGCACCTAACAACAACAACAACAACAACAAGAGAACAGATATGATACAACGGATTATTTATTGACCAAGTCAGGCACTGGTTTGTGTTCTCAAACGGAAAAACCTACCACAAAAGAAATGTCACACATTTCTTCTCTTGGGTGAGATCAAAATTCTAAATTGCTCAAGAGGCCTACTGAGCTGTGTCTAGAGAACAAAGCAAATAAGAAACAGCCAGGTGTTTATGAAACTTTCTAACATTGCAAAAGAGTCAACTTTCCGCCTTCTCCATGTTAGGAATCAGGAAACTCGGACAGCATCTCAGAGCCTGTAGAATGTTTGTGTAGACCCCACTTACCCTTGCTTTGCACCAACTCCCCTGACAAATGAGTTTGGGGCACTGTGTTTGACAACTGGTGGTGATAAAGAGACTTCTGTGGAGGCTTCTCAAGTGGAGCAGGAAGCCTCCTGCCTGAACACCCCAGGTTCTGGGAAGCCGGAGGAGCGCCTCTCCGGAGGACTCTGAGCTACTGCTCAGAATGCAAGTTCCTACTGGCGGAACAGAGCATTTTTACAACTCCAAAGTCTGTTTCATTGGCAACTGAAAATGCCAAGTGTTTTATATTTTTCAGCTTCTAGAATTTGAAAAAGGAGCACTGGTAGCGTAGTGGTTATGAATCGAGCTATGAACCTCAGTTCGAAACTACCAGCTGTTCCGCAGGAGAAAGATGAGGCGATCTGCTCCCGTAAAGATTCACAGCCTCGGAAACCCTGTACAGGGTAGCTATGGGTCGGAATCGACTCGACAGCACTTAACAACAACAACAAAGATTTACAGCCTCGGAAACCCTGTACAGGGTCGTTATGAGTCGGAATCAACTCTACGGCACATAATAGCAACAACAACAGAATTTGAAAACAAGGTTGTTCTTGTTGTTGTTAGGTGCCATGGAGGCGGTACCGACCCATAGTGACCTTATGCACAGCAGAACAAAACACTGCCCGATCCTGGGCCAACCGCACTACTGTTGACACGCTTGAGTCCATCGATGCTGCCACTTGGCCAGTCCATCTCGTTGGGAGTCTTCCTCTTTTTCTCTGACCCACCATCTTACCCAACATGATATCCTTCTCCAGTGACTGGTCCTTCCTGACATTATGTCCGAAGTAGGAGAGATGAAGTTTGGCCATCTTGGTCTCCAAGGAGCACTTTGGCTGCACTTCTTCCAAAACAGATCTATTGGTTCTTTTGGCAGTCCATGGCACTTTTAGTATTCTCCTCCAGCACCACAACTCAAATGCGTCAATTCTTCTACGATCTTCCTTATTCACTGTCCAGCCTTCGCATGCATATGAGTTTATTGAAAACACCATGGCTTGGGTCAGGTCACCTTAGTCCTCAAGCTGACATAGCCTAGGTTAAATAAAGCGGTTTCCAAAGCTGCAGGTGTCCTTTTGGAGCTCGGTTTTGCAGCTTGAGGTACAAAACCAATTTCCTACAACTACCAGCTGAGAGCACTGCTTCAGTGCTGCCTTGTGATGCACGCGCCCATCCGTCTCGGATGGTAATGTCCCTCCCCCACCCTCGGTAAGGGTGTAAAAAGTCTCGAGTTAGGTGCGTTTTGCTAGTCTTACACAGTCAATTTCACTCCAAATGTCTCCTGAGAGGCATACACCATCTTCGTCCTCGCTTTCTTAGACTTCAGAGATAGGTGTGGGGATGCTCACCACGTTGTATCGGTTCATCAGCAGGAAGAAGGCCTGCTTGGCGTTCAGCTGTGAGTGCCTTGGAATGATTTTGATGAGCTCACTCATGATGACGTGATCTGGGACAAGGAACTTGGTTTGACCCAGCACGGGAAGTTGCTTCTCACCCTTGTATCTTTCGATGAGCACCGGGATTTTGGTAGGATGCTGCTTTCGGATGAGTCAGACATCTTCCACCCTTTGTTCAAAGGTTTTTTTTTGAAGGTCTTCTCTGAGCGCAGTAGTGAGGGATGGCGGCTAGGCTGAGGTGACTGCGGCTTCAGGCAGAGGCTCCGACTCCGGCGATAGCCCCATTTTGCATTCTTGCCAACCATGTTTGAGGACTTCAATTTCTCCACATTGTCTCTAATACTTGTTTCTATTTTTCTGATAACAATCTTAGTGAGTGTGAAGTGGTATAGTAGTTTTGATTTCCATTTCCTTAATAACTAATGGAAAGGTCCCTAGGTGATGCAAATGGTTTGTGCTTATTATCTTCAATATCAACAAGCTTAGGGGACAATACTGCCTTGTTGTTTTTGTTGCTAAGTGCCGTCAAGTCGATTCTGACTCATAGCTATTCTGTATAGGGTTTCCAAAGAGTAACTGGTGAGTTTGAACTGCCAACCTTGTGGTTCAAACTTAACTTTTGGTCCAGTGGTTTAGCTCACAAAGCCATACCAGGATTCCAATACTGACTTAGGACATGGGAAATAAAAAGAAAAAGTAAGACAAATTACTAGAAGAGATTGCTAGTTTATCAGACTTGTCCAAATTAAGATAAAGTACAAAGATTACTTTTGACATGTTTTTCCCTTTGTGTGTTGCCACGTTCTCCTTATAAGCAGTTTGATACTTTTCACAATATGTGTCACGTTGTTGTTAAGTGTCATTGAGTCAGGTCCATGTGATTGCAGTCCTGTACAGGATTTCCAAGGAGCAGCTGGTAGGTTTGAAACACCAACCTTGCAATTAGCAGTTCAGTGCTTATTCTACATGAAATGGCTTGGGCACAGTAAAATGTCAATTATACCAATATGAAAAGGAATGAAAATATTCAATGTACAGGTAGAGGAGTTGGCAGATGGAAGTGACAAGGCACCTCTGCCCTCCTCTCTCCACTGAGCTTTCCACTATGTCTTTTCAGCAGCTAGATGTCTTTTTAATGGAGATGTGAAAAGTGTCAGAGAGGAATCCCAAACATGAAGCTGATGTTTCAATTCAATAGACACTAATCTTACCTCTTTATATCTATAGAACGCAGTTTCTGAGGCTGATAGCCCTACGGAAGGTCCGGCTGAGGGCATTCTTCACCTCATTGTTTCTTAGGCTGTAGATAATGGGGTTCAACATGGGAGTCACAATAGTGTAGGACAATGACAGCACCTTCTTGCTTTCAGGGGAATTATTAGACTTAGGTCTGAAGTAGGTGAGGCTTGAAGATACATAGAAAAGGGAGACAACAAGGAGGTGAGAGGAGCAGGTAGAGAAGGCTTTTTGCTTCCCTGTAGCTGATGGAATCTTGAGAATGGCAGCAGCAATGCGAGTGTAGGAGCATAGGATCAGCATGCAGGGTGTCATGACGACCAGAATAGTTCCAATGATGGCATAGATCTCAAAGAGTGCTGTGTTTGCACAGACCAACCTCAGCACAGGTGGACTGTCACAGAAGAAGTGGTTCACCTTGTTGGTACCACAGAATGGGAAGCTGAAAAGCCATGTGGTCTGCACAGTAGCTACTGGAAAGCCTGGCAACCAGGAGAGAGCAGCCAATCTTGCACAGGCCCTTTGGTTCATGATTACTGGGTAGTGTAAGGGGTTGCAGATAGCTACATAACGATCATATGCCATGGTGGCCAGGAGGAAGCATTCAGCCACCCCAAAGAAAAAGAAGAAGTACATTTGAATAGCACAGCCAAGGAAGGAGATGGTTGTGTCCCGGGCAAGCAGGGTCCCCAGCATTTTGGGTACAATGACTAGGTTGAAGCCAATCTCCAAGAAGGACAAATTCCTAAGGAAGAAGTACATGGGACTTTGCAACATAGAATCAGCCAAAGTAACCAAAATGATGAGGCTGTTTCCCATCAAAGTGACTAGGTAAATGATCAGAAACATCATGAAGAGTAATGACTGTATTTCAACAGGTAGGGAAGAGAAACTCATGAGAATAAACTCACTGACTTTTGTCTCATTTCCTCGAGCCATATTTATGGGGATAGTACTCAGCTGTGAATATGGAGAGATGATTCTTGATTGGAAGCATCAGATTCTGGATTTGTTGCTCAGATTTTGTCTCAGTGTCAAAGAAAGAGGCAAGTGTAATGTCTAAATTGGAAGAAGAAGGCCTTGTGTTTTTTAAAGAATAAAGACAAAAGAAAAATAACCAGAATCTAAATTTTGAGATGGACTTGGATCAACTACTGGAAAAATTTCCCCCCTAATTGCGCATTAGCATGTCCAGAAAGGCCACACATAGCCAGAAACTTGTGCTATTCAGTCCCTGAAAGGACCACCAAAAGACACGTTTCAGATACAATGGTATTTCTGAAAATACCTCAAGTTTTATATACACCCCTTCAACGATCATGATTTCACTAAACGTGTGAATTTGTAAAAACTTTAAAGCATATTAATAATTAAAATGTTGAGTAAAGCATCTAATGATTTTTGTCGTCTTTGTGAAGCTTTTATGCCTTGGGATGTGAGAGTAAGCTTATGTGTATTGAGGACTAGGCATATGTTAGACACACCACACAAGTTATGGCTGGTTTTATCTGTGTATTTACTCATAGGTAGTAGATTGGGCTCAAGGAAATGAAGATACTTGGCCTAAGATACTCAGCAATTAAATGAAAAAATCCAGAATCAAAGCTGTATCTGTCATACATTGGGACTATACTTTGACTACTGCCTTCATCTCAGGGTTAACTCTTTAATGTATAAAATAACTTAAATAGAAACTTCTACAAAATCACAGCTAAGATAGAGGCAAAGAGGCAAACAGTAACAATAATTTTTATATCAAAGTGTTCAGGAGCTCCTCTAAGCTCCACAGGATCTCTCTTTAACAACAAATTTCTAGTTGTAAATTGCTTAAGACTTCCCTGTGTTTTTCGTCTTGGTAGTGTTGAACTTGAAATTTTCATAGAGATAAAGTGAAATCAGGCCAGAAATGAAATTGGCTGAAAGACTGGGGTAAAAGAGAAAGGAATTGAATATCATTAGGGAAATATTGCAAGAAAAAAGGAAAACTCAAAATACTAAAATCATAATTAGGAAGAGAAATCAAGACCAAAAACCTCAATCAACCAAACATACAGGTTTAACAACATGGATCAAAGATGTGCTCAATCTTTCCTTCACATTCCAGAATTAAAATGATCTCCTATGCCATGCTAAGGAGTCTGGTATTTTTTATTGAATAAAATTTTGGATCGGGGGGGTGACATTGTCAGTTATGCCTCATGGAAAGATTACTCTGATGTACAAGAGTGGGTGGGATGATGTGAAAGTCAGAGAGGGACCAAGGGCAGTATGCCTGGATTCAAGAAGAACAGTTAATAGGCAATAACTCTTTCTTTCCTGCGTTTTGAAAAATTGACTCAGTTTTTTACTTAATTATCATGTTTGCTAAAACACCATTTTCTGCTACACGCTCAATAACTTTGTGGTGGAGTTAAAATGAGTGGGATCCCAAAGCAATGAAGAGATTCCAAATTGAAAAATAAAAAATTCCATTTATACCGTTTATTTTTTACCCTTATTCAGAGAATCTAAGTTTTCATATTATCCTTCTCCTGCCAAAATTCGTTCTTACGTTTTTATATCCTTTTTGTTTTTTAAAGGCAGTATTTCGCTTTATTGTATACAGGGTCTAAGAATTAGAATCAACTTGACTATACCTATCAATAGCAACAACATAAGATATTTTCAGGGAATTAATTTAATGATTGAATCTGACAAACAATATAATATTGAGTTTATAAAAATACACATAACATACATTTATGGAATACAGATTTATTTTTGTGTTAATTAATATTAATGGAGACACACTGACCAAGATGGAGGAAGGAAGACTATAGTAGGGGCAGATTTATTATGTTAAGGCTGTATGTTAATGATTGCTCATATGTTAAACATTGTTGCAGTTGTGAATGCAATATATGTGGTTATTGATAAAATATGACCAAGAAAAGAATGTTCAGAAGAAAATATTGAAGAAAAGAAAAAGGTACATTGCAAGAAAGTAGACCAAAACAAAGAAAAATCTATATATCCTTTTACAGGCTATAATTCCACAACAATTTGAAAAAGTCTTGTGCTATTGTTTATTGCCATTGAGTTGATTCTGACTCAAGATGACCCTATGTGTGCAGTGCAGAACTGCTCCCTAAGATTTTTAAGGTTGTGACCTTTTGGAAACAGGTAATCAGACCCTATGGGTGGGTTGGAACTGACCGACACTCTTTGAGCTAGTAGTTGAGCACTTAATGGTCTGTGCCATCCAGCGGCAAAAGTTTTTTGTTGTTTCACATTTTGTTTTGACAGTGCTACAAAGTAGGCAAGTCAGGGTGATGAGTGGAAACAATACCAGTAGGGTGTGACAAGTTTAATGGACTTTTCCTCTTCCTCAATCTAAGAACTGTTGCCTACTTCAAAATACACAATAATCATTTTTCCTTGCCTAGTCACATTACCAGATGACACATGTAGGAACTTCCTCCTCCGTCCAGCAATGCTATCCTTGACAATTGACTGAAAATGGTCAATTATCAATTGTCTAGTATATCTATTGGCTCTCAAAATTAAGATCTGGGAGGAGTATTGTAGTACAATTAAATACTAAATAGTAAGGAAGAGGAAGACTTTACTGATCTAAGAAAAAACGATTAGACAATAACAAGAACTCATGTCGCAACTGGCAAAATCTTTGTTGTCTGCCAGTCATGCTCTGATAAACACTTTGATTTTCAATAACAGATTAACATCATTATAGCATTTATGCAGGGAAAAAATACCTTAAAAATAATATTTATTACACTGCTCTCTTGTAGCACTAAAACTAAATGAAACAGTCTATAGTTTTGAGCAAAAAATGGAGATGTTAGCAAACAGTACTTAGTCTTTGGTTGCTCAAACTCATACATACACAAAATAAAATCCATATAATTTTGAAAAATAAGAAATGCATCAATGATGTAACATAATAATCAGTTACAATATTTTGTCATGAGAATCCAACCCTCTCCCTTCAGACTAAGTAAGTGGAGTAAAGGAAAGCAAAATATGGACATAATCATTAATATTCATAACCCGCGGACTTTGGGGTTTCTTAGGCAGCTGCTTTCCCACTGACAATATGTGAAGCTTTCAGAGGGGAACTGCATAACTGTTTGAAATGGAAGAAATGGACATGTGTCACAAATTATTGTTTTTACAGGGTACTGTAAGAGGTAGTGCATCCAGTAGAGGCACCGTTTCCCACCAACCTATAACAGAAGTCACAGGGAAATAAGTGTTCCATAGGCCAGTGGAACATATGCATCATACCTACACTTTCCCCAGAGCCTAGGAGTCCAGAGGGTTGGATTCTCATGATAAAATATAACTGGGGATACAGGGATTGAGACATGGTTGGAATGGGGAAAAGGGGGGAAATAATGTTAAGATGCTTGGCTATCTTTGAATCTTAATTTCCCTGGCATATAGGGACCCAGCACAGGGTTTTTGAGGCTGTAAATCTTTATAGGAGCAGAAAGGCTCATCTTTCTCCTGCGGAACAGCTGGTAGTTTCAAATTGCTGACCTTGCGGTTGGCAGCCCAATTCATAACCACTACACTACCAGAGCTCCTTAATTGCAGAGATAGACAATGGTTTTTACATACAAGCCTGTTAAAGGCTTTATCATTATATTGACAAATGGAAAACAACTATTAATCTGTAAATGACTGGGTCCATTATGATGCAGATATTTAAATAAATGTCATGTAAATTATTTATGAAGAGCATTTCGTTCTATTGGATAATAATCTATAATATTAAATGGAAAACAAGACATACCTGCATGTGCACATGTAAGATGTCAACTTTGAAATTTGTTGTTGTTAAGTGTCATTGAGTTGGTTCCAACTCATAGCAACCTTCTATAGGGTTTTCAAGGAGTGGTTAGTGGGTTCAAATCGTTGTGGTTAGCAGACCAGTGCTTATCTTACAGTGCTACATCAGGGCTCCATTGTAAATTAGTACATAGACAAAAAAGGTCTATGCAAAATTTTAACAATTATTACCATCAACTGGCATGAAGAATAATGGGATAATTCTTTTAATTTGAGTTTTATGGTTGCTAGCTATCCTACAGTGACTACATTTGTTATGTTGTTGTTGTTGTTAAGTGCCACTGAGTTGGTTCCGACTCATTGCAACCCTGTATAGGGTTTCCAAGTAGTGGCTGGGGAGTTTGAACCACTGATCTTGTGGTTCTAAGCGACCTTGTGATCCAATGCTTTATCCCACAGAGCCACACCAGGATTCCACATTTGTTATATAATAGTAATAAAAGCATTCATGATAAAGGGAAAATAATCCTGTGTTGGTAACATTGGCTGTTGTCATGGACTTTCTTGACAGACGCAGATTGCCAGGGCTTTCTTTCAGGTGCTTCTGGGTGGGTTTGAGCTACCAAACTTTTGATTAGTAGTTGAATGCTTTACTATTTATTTACTAAAAATTTCTGAAGTCCCACTCAGGAAACTATGCTAGGTATTTTTACTTTAATTATTTTATTATTTTCTCACAGAACTGATCTCCATATTACAGATGAAAGTACTAAAGTCTAGAGAAGCTAAGCAAGTTGATACTTTAAAAACTTTGGTAACTTGTTTATTTGTGTAGTAAAGGCAGAGCCAGCACTAAATGTCAGAATCAGAAAATCTATAATAAAAGCAATACAGGGTTTTCAGCATGGCATTTAATATGAATACAACCTATTATTTAGGTCTTATCTTTTGTCCCTATTCTTATATTGTGTACATTATTCTTCACCCATGTTGAGCTTCTTATTGTTTTTTAAACAAACTGGTTCTTTCATGATTCTACAGCAGGAATTGGTACAATTGTAACATATTACATATGGAATTCTGGTGGCATACTGGGTCTACATGATGGACTGCTAACCACAAGCTAAGTAGCTCGATCCACCAGC